CAGTGATGGTCGTCATGTGGCGAGACTCGCGGAAGCCATGCAAAAGGTCATCAAGCTTAGGGAGAAGAGCCAATCATCGACCATGAATTGTTCGAGCAAGCCAGATTTTCCGCACGGACCCGAAGGCTCGTCGCGGACCTCGACTGGTAATTAACTTGAGAAGGGATTCATCAGGTTTATGTTGCCGTATGTTTTCATATTTCCCGATGATCGAGTACGGTGTCGGATATCAATAAAGATACGTAGCCTGCTATTTTGTGAAATATGACGGATTGCTGTTGGTTTGCTCTCGGTTAAGTAGCAATCAAGTTGAATTAGCTATGCAAATCGACTGCATACTGGGTTCGGTTTCGGTTTGGTCTTTGACACCCCTATTCTCTCTCTCTGTTGGCCATCGAAATGTTGCCATGGTAGCGTCGAAGGGCCAAGATGAAGATAATTTATCTTGGTATTGCTCGAAGACCAAAGGTTCACGGATGAATCGAGAAAGCGTTCCGAGCATGACTCATGTCTGATCGGTAGCTGCAAACTTTTCGAAGCAAGAAATCGGTTGTATTAATCCTTATAGTACCTGAAATACTCCTTTGAAATTACAAAAGGTGGAAATTTGACAGTTGAAAATGAAGACATTATATAAGAATATGACTTGGTTGAACATGAACTTCAGTTCCAGAAAAGTGAATGGAGAAATAGAGCATGAAACCGGAGATTATTCCGCTGTCATCAAGGTAACATTGAACATGAAGGTATAGGATACAGCGTATAAAGTTTGTCTTAAAGATGGCAAGAGCATATGTTTGCGCCTGTTAATCAAGAGAAATTAGCAGGTAGGCTGGGTGCATACACCCTGAGTCCATTTTAGCTGTCAGATATCTCTTCAAAGTTCGTGATACCCGTTTAAGACGACCTTGTTCGGGGTCCGTCGAATGATAGCAGGTATTTTCGAGATAAGCCAAGATCTCAATTGCATACTCAAATTTATCAGACCGCTTTCAACTTGTTGCACGGTTTCAATTTCTATATGCATTTTCAAATTAGCTTATTTTCGACCTTCCAATAGGGTCAAGGGAAATGCACGCCATCGCAACTTGGTTTGCTTTTAGAGCTGATTCGCTGCAAAAAAATTGTTCTCTGAAATCATTGGATTGATCATGAACCTATTGTGGACGACGTTGCTTATGCGAACCTGATCATCGCCCTGTTGTTATACTGCAGCGAGGCCAGCGATCAATTCCGATAGAACGATTCCAAGCCACAAACGTAGCCTTTCATATTCAGCTCTCTTGCGGTATGGTTTTAGTAATCCGAATTCAAAGCATCGGTTGAAAATGCATAAACCGCGAGCTCTGAAGTACGGTAATAAACCCTTCACGACCAAAACTCATCTTTCACCATTGGAAACCAAAACTAGAAGTTCATTTTCACCAGTTCACTGACCATATGTTCGAGAGTCATTGGAGGACTGAACGAGGGGACAAGGGCTGCAAGCTCATTAGAGATGCGCTTGCCATTATACTGGAAGACATTATGAAATTAGTCACAAATCGAACCACAAAACCTTAATATAGAGGACAGCACGCTGCATTCATTCAGACAGGATTAAGCTTCCAGTAGTTGTTACATTCGAACTCATCCGCATCCTAATTTCGCAAGTGGTGTATGTTTACCTTCTTTCACCATAGGATGTTAGTGTAGGAATTCGCTTGTTAAAAAGCTAACGCATGTCACATTGCAGGTAAGACGATATTGTGGTGTATCCGAACCATTCATGATGCATGTAATGGAACAAGATGTCCAATCCATCACTCGGTGATGCATCATCCAGCTGAAACAAGAAACATTGGACATTTCAAGATTGAAACTTATCTTATTAATATCTCCTGCCCACATGGTTTCTCTTGACTAGTTGTAAGAGCTTAATGCGGCGGAGATACCTCAAATTGGCTGTTCGAATGGCTCAAATAATATCATTCCAGAACAGGAAAATGAAACAATGATCGACTAACCCCCTTAACTAAAAACAAGAGCTCAAATGAATGATACTGAAGCGGCAATCAAAAACTTCAATGCGAAAAGCAAAACTGGTTCGCCCTCGACTAGCCCCACTAATTGGAAGCTGAAAGAGAAAACATTAATCTATCAAGGCAATGTTTCTATATTAGGTGTTGGTGGCCCTTGTGTAGATCTGCTGGCTGGCGTGAGCACTTATCATCCTAATAAGACCTCTCGCCATTAAGTCCTTGATTGCTCTACGTGCCAGTGAACCATTGACCTATAACATAAAAAATGCCAGAACATTGAGATGTTAATGACTAACATTTTACATGTAACATACACTTCACATGTTCATCATGGCAGGCGATCCATCAACATGGGAACAAGAACTAGTCATGGTCTACCAGGCTCTAATAAATGATTACAACAAACAAAAGCACGGAGCAACATATCTAAAAGAGAGAAATGGTGATGATAAGGAAAAGGAAGAGAATTAAACCCCCAATGACTAAGCCTCCACAAGGGATAACATTTAACCATAGAACAGAACAGATTCCATTGCAGACATGGGGGCCAACAAATCACTTAATGGCCCAATAGGATATTGGTTAAACATTGTCATTCAACATCCTTGCAAAAGGGAATGGCACAAACAACTTAAGCAGAACTTGTGCTTAAGTACATCAAGCAGCTTCTAGGCTCAATAGCAACAACAAAAAGTTACTGCTACTAAAGTCCAATATATTCCTAGCAAAGCATATACACTTAACAGAGGAAGCCGTTTTTCTAAGCCATTGAGCAACAAATAAAAGCAGCAGTAACATTTTTTTTTTACTACCATAATGAAAGCCGCAGAGGGAACTGCAGCATAGATTAAACAAGAAAGCTGACGTAAGCATACCCTCAATCTGTCTGATAAGATGGAAGGAGTGATAAGCTTGTACTTGGGAACTTCACTGAGAAGTTTGTCATACGTTGCCTGATCAAAGAGCACCATGTTGTTTACCTTCTCCTTTTGCTTTCCTTTGCTCCATTTCTGCACAAAATGATCTTACAAGGTCACACACGGACATCCAGTAATAACTGCAGCCTGAAGCTGAAGCCAAACTACGTAAAGACACAGAAACATATATATAAAAAAGAACCCTTAACGCCTTTACAGAAATAAAGTAAATTCATCAATCACAATCGAAATATAAGGGATGCAGTAAAACCCCAGATATTCTGTGCTTAACTGGCAGAAACTATCCTCACTTTGCTATGAAAACTAGCAGCCTTGCACTTTGATTAACAATATAAGAGCTAAAAAACTTCAGTCATTGATTAGATTTGCACATATAATAGAAGCCCCAGTATGCAAAACTGGTCCAACCTCACTGATGACCCGAACAGAACAGAACAAACATCACATAATGCTTCTCTCACGCAGCAGTGAACTAAACAACTTAGAATGCGACCGCGGTATATAAGACAAGTTCTCGCAGTTAAACGGCATCAAAAGGTGGGTCCTTTGACTAAATTGAGAGGCAATGATGATAGTTAGGACAACGCCCACGATGAGCTACTTTTCTAGAATAACCAAATGCGCATAGCAGAAACCCCACATCCCAGCTTCAACGAATGAGCTCAGAACACGAATGCCCAGATAGAAAGGAAGACAGAATTGACCTTCTTTTTTTGCTTCCCTCCGCCGGATTTAGCTGGCTTCGAAGACGGGGGAGGAGCCTTCTCCTTCTTCGGTGCCTACCAAAAAAAAACACACCCATGAAAGAAAGCCAGCAACGTCAGCGAACGACATCAAACCAAAACCACAAGCTGCTGCCACGGCGCGCACAAGGAAAAACCACTCGGCACATCGGAAGATCGATATGAACTCCGAAACGAACTCGACGAATGATCTTTTTTCGCCATGAATGCCTCGACGTCGTAAGACTCGTGCACTACGAAGTACGGGAGATTGGCATCATCATCATCATCACGCCGGTTCTTACCATGAAGGACCAGAGCTGGTCTCTCGGGTCGGTCGAGATCGGAGGAAAGCGCGCGGCGGGAGCTCTCGGCGGTGATAGCTTGGAGGAAGAAGAGCCGGTGATTTCTCGTTTTTATACGGGGAAAGGTGGGAAGAAGACGACTAGGGTTTCATGCGCGACGGGCGAGCGGGCTGGGCCTGAACTTTTGGGCCCAGCTACGAGTACTCGGCCCAAAAAGGCCTCTTCTAAGGCTCTGTGGACTGGGCTTGGGCGTATCGTATCCTCTTGTCGAGTGGGCCGCGGCCTGATGCACGGCGAGATTTTGCCGTGCTCGATCCGACGGCTGGCAATAGACAAATTCTGATCCGAAGGCTGAGAGCTAATGAAATTCAGCTTTACCAAAGATGGGGCTTACCGAAGTCGTTTTGTTGCACTAGAGCATATGTTGGTAACTGCAAATCTGTAACATCCCATGTTATCTATCTCTCAAAAGAAGATAGATTTGCAAAACATTCCGATCGCATAAGCCGAAGAAATTATTTTTTTTTTCTCTTTTCTTGTGATTATAATAGGCTGAAGTATTTCAGTAACACAATTGTACATGCATTTTAGCTAGAGATTGCCAACCAAACGAAGAAGCCATGAGATTCGATTCTTTAAGAAAACTTGCTGAATTTGACGTTAATTGTCCAGCCATTAGTTTCCAAGGTGGAAGCTGCAGAAAGAAAGCAGTGCTCAGATCCATCAAAATCTCAATCCCCGTACAACAACCACAACAGCTATATGCTCAGGACATTGTTGAACAATGTCTCCTGGAGATCCCAATCATTAAGTGTTACACTGCACGTTCCTGTTCGAGGCAAATCGGTTTTAGCTTAAAACGCTAATCTTCTCAACTTACAGTCGAATAAGGATCCGAGAATTTCCCCGAGAGTTCATTCTTGGCGCAACGAGTCAAGGAACTATACCTTGCTGCTAGAGAGAAAGAACGGCGTTGTTTAGGAAACCTCACTTTCTTACTCATCAAGTGAAACCTCACTTTCTTACTCATCAAGTTGACTTGCCGCTGCAAAACAAACATATCTAACCAAAGGAACCTCAGTTGTCCTCACGATAGTCATCAGCCTTTCTCAGAAGTGAGTGAGTTGCTGGAGTTTTCGGCTTTGAAAGAATTTGCAGCGACCTCTGCCACTTGATTCTGTCTCTTCTATCTTCCTCTTCGATGTAAAACCAAGACTGCTCAGCTTCACCTGTCTCTTGCCATTACTTCCATTGAAATCATCTTCATCCACTTGATCAGATTCCCTACAGGGAGGTGAAAATATGACAGTTTGAGCATCGCGACTGTGCGTTTCTATTCTCATGGTTTTGAATAGGAAGGGCAGATGTAATGCTTAGAGGTTTTCATAATTGCAGTTACCTAACCGACAGAGAAGACTGAATACCTAAGTCCTACCCAAATAATGACAAAAAACAAGAACTTCTTTTTTCACTGAATGGAGTCAGCAGTATGGAGGATCCCTGCTGTGGGAGTCGAGTGTTGTACAAGACAAATTCATCCACTTAAGATGGCCCCAGGGGTCTTAAAAATTGGGCATTTACCCCAAATCAAAAGTTATTTTGCAAATACACACAGCATTGTAGCTGTTCATTGGTTTCAGAAAGGAAACAGTGCATAGCAGATCCAGATGGATAGACGCGTAAGGAATTGATGAGAGAGCACAGAACAAAGACTCACCATGCGACTTCAACAAACTCCTTGTAGTATGCCGTGCATGTAGCCCAACTGAAGCGGACGAGACTTGGGAACCCAAAAACCGAGTGTTTATGTTGTTCCAACCATGCCTTCGTTTCGGGGTCTGCGACAAACCAACCGCAAGCAGATCTCTCAGAGAAGTCCATGCTGAGTATGAAGTTTCAGAGAAGTACAGATTTCTTATAAAATCAGTAAAGACAGCCTGTATTTCTCTTTACCTCCAGGATATCCGGAACCAAACTCCTTATGCATGTTTTCAGCTGTTTCCTCAAGCAACCATCCACGCAAGGCTCTGTCTCTCGTGACCTTCATGTATTAAAAGAAAAAAGGAGAAATGATGCATCAAAGGGCTTGAGATGAGTCTTGATTTGACAAACTATAATATAAATCAAGTTACTCACTTTTGCGACTATGCTTGCTCCACTAACAACTGGATAAAGACTATCAGCCTTCTTTGCAACCACAAATTTGACCCCTGGAAATCTTTCAGAAAGCTTTACTCTATATTTTTCAGCATCTCCGACAGTATCAACATAAACCTGAAAGCATGCAGTTACAAGCTTCATGAAAACGTCACATCATGGTCACATTTAGTCGCTTTAAACCAGTTTTACACTACCATGCTTGGAAGGATCTGATTATCCACTAATGAAGTGAGGTCTATTGATCGCATGGGCTTCTACTTCACAAAGGAGAACTATGACCGTTGCTTAGAAGTATTCAAAGCAAAAGTCACTAGAAAGAACAACACCTTTACACTCTTGAACTCTGTGTGGCATGATTCCTCAAGCAACCTTTTTAAGTAAAGGTCAAGTATAAGCTTAACATTGGTGGTCGAGAGCCAGTGGGGCGATTTGGATTTAATTCTGGGGAACCACCTTAATGAAATTTCACAATTTACAAGCTAATTGGTACCTGTCAATGAACATTTCATGTTCAGTTGCAACTTGTAATTATGTTTTAGCAACGATCATCCAGTAGAACAGCACCCGTAGTTTTCTCTACTAAAATCTCGTTCCTGGATTATTGTCGCATGATGATGGTTTATTTTAAAAGACTGATGGTGGAACATCTCTCACTCATTTTTGGAAACACACGTCTAAGGAGCAAAGCAAGGCAAGGAAGCATACTTTCTGGTGTTATCGAAATTAAAGGGAATATGGTGAAAGATGCTCCACAAAGCATACAAACCCACACAACTAACTCCGTGTACCAATTTGCAAACTAATCTTACAGAACTATAGATATTTCCTTTCCCAGTAGAATCATGAATTGCCGGCATCTTTCTAGATGCTTCTTTTTGTTTCCTTCTTTGTATTTTCCCACTTATTCTCTCTTTAGTCTTCAACTCCTCATAATAAATGATTTGGCTGGACTGATGATTTTCAAACTCCGCTATCCAGATAACCAAATGCTAACCAACCCTTTAAACAATAAGGACTGATCACTGTTAGCATGGTAACATTGGAAGCAAAAATCTTCTGAAGAATTTACCTCGGTTAGAAGAACACCCATATTGAGCACCCTGGAGACAAGTCCCATTGCAGAGTCATGTGATATTTCATTGAGATTGATCTTATTTCTGCCACCGATCAAAATGTTCAGGTCCCTCGTAGATAGCAGACTGGTATGAAAGAAAATAAATAAATCATATACATATGTTGCTTACTTCCTTAGCATTTTAGATGAAAGCTCTCGTGGGTCTATGACATCAACAGCCCAGCCAATTGATTCATCAGCCTTTAGATTTTCAAATAATTCCTCCCTCTTCTCTTCTTTTAATGTCTTCGAATCTGCAGGTATACCAAAACGAATTGTAAACCAGTTAAATTAGAAACTGTCGTGCTGCGGAAGGTTTTCAATTACTTGATTGTATTGCAAGGTCAAGCAAGTGCATTCTTCCGCGAGCTACCGGATAATAAAGTGTCCTTGAGAAAACTGTATTTGTGAGTTTCGCACAAGCATAGTCCAGATGGAGCAAGTGTTTCATAGAGCTAAAGTCTCTCCACCAAAATGTTGAAAATATATTTCGCGATCAAAGTTCAACAACCGGTACCCAAAGCATCGAGTTACTTAGACTGAAGCTGACAACCCCAATCAACAAAGGCGAAGATCAAGTCGTCCACATTACCAGTATAATCGTAGATTAATCCAACAAAACTCATGTTATTCCATATATTCGTTAAAAAATCAAAACAATGATCTTTTCGGAGAAAAAACAAACTCAATCTATATCAGCCATTTCACATCACGGTACCATGCCTTCACCAGAAAGGGAGAAGAATAATGAAAAGGAAGCATTTCAAGCGATCGGAAACCTGCGAAGTTGAGAGTGGAGAGTGTCTTCTGATACGATCGAGCACAGTACAAGCACCCGTACACCATGGGACCTGCCGACGCAACGCATCAGCACAGAAAAACACACCCAGACCATCGGCCACCGCATCGAACCAAACCCACAGAGAAATTCACAGGAAAGAAAAAAAAACACGAGAGAAAGCGAACCAAGAACAGGGCCACGGCCCGCTTCGTCGATGCCCATGATGCAAGGCTTCGAACCCCATTTCGGAACCGGAGCTTCGGATCCCATGTTCCCAACTCCGACGTTGCCTCCGCCTCTTCCTCCTGCTCCTTCCCGCCAGAAACGAGCTCGCTCCGGAGTGCGACAAATCGAAGGAAAAAGTTCACTCTTTTGCTGCAGTCGTGTTCTGCGCTGGATCCGGTTAGTCGAGACGGCTAACGGGTCGGACAAACGGAGGATCCATTTGGAATGGGCCAAACCCATGCCCAGAAAAGGCCCGAAACATATTTACACGCGATGCCCCCGCGATTTTGACCGATTCACATTTTCTGCCCCTCCCTTCAAGTTGCTCTCTTATCCGGATAAGGGCGAATCTATTTATATATTTCTCCCAATAAACTACACAGTTCAACTTTTCGTACCTATCCGTTCAGCCGAATTGACCAAAACCCCCATCCCCGCCCCCACCCACCGAAAGCGGAACCGCCTCTCGAGGAGGGCCAACGTCGTACTTTCGCACCCGGCCGCGGGTCTACCGGCGCGCGCCGCCGGGAACTCCGCTCCGGTTTCTCGAGAAATCGCTTTCGGTGGACGACCCGAACCCGCTACCGCTCGACCCGATTATCCGGGCGATATGACGCTGCGCTTCTAGAGTGTTTTTTTTTTCTTTCACGCCTTGAGCAGCACGCAGAGCAGGAGCTAGAAGGGAAGCGAAGGAGATGGCGATGAGAGCAGCGGCGGCCAGGCGAGCGAGCTTGATTCGGTTCAAGGACTCGTCTCGAGGAGCGACTCGGTACATGAGCTCCGGCCAGGGGAGGATCCTGAGCGATGAGGAACTCGCTGCCGAGAAGGTCTACATCCAGGTATCTCCTTTCCCTTTTTGTTGCTTGAGCTTAACTTCGCCGGTTTTGCGTGTAAGAATCTTGGGTTGTTGTGGTTCGTTCGTTGGTGGGTTTTGGTCTCTAGCGGTTTCCTTATATATATATATATATATATATATATATATATATATATATATATGTTGCTCCGGCTGTGCTCTGACGAATTCCTTTCTTGGTGGGTGTCTCTGAAGAAAATGGAGAGGGAGAGGATGGAGAAGCAGAGGAGGAAGGCCGAGAAAGAGAAGGCCGAGAAAGAGAAGGAGGGTGCTGACAAGGTACATGTCTGAAGATCCTTGGCGCGCCTTTCTATTCCACAGTACAGACACACACACATAACAAGAAACCAAAGAGAGAGAGTCAATAGGGACTGTCCATCATATAAAACCCGAATTTTCGGAGGGCTCGTCTTAGAATTGCGCCCCGTCGTGTCCTTCGCTACGTTCCCGGAACTACGCAGACTGCGCGGATGATTTGTCGGGCGAGATTGAGATGCGGGTTTGTGGGTCAGTCGAGTGAATATCAGATGGTGTTGTCTTCCTGTGGCTAGTTGATATTTGATAGCCTGAAGCTGCTAATACTCCTCTGTATAGGAGGAGCTCGTCGCCTTCTCGGTCTCAAAGTTCGAGGTCCTTGTTAAAATCGAGTCTAGAACCACATCCAATTCACATCACGAGTCTCTGTAGGTCATCCGGTCGGGGCGAGTTTCAGCTACCTTGTCACTAATATAAAATTGTTTGCCCATAGGATTTAGTAGATGGATTGTTGTTGATCACGAATCAGATGGACTCTTGACGAAATCTAACACTTCTTGCACGTATCCCATCCACACCTTCTAGCCCGATAACTCAGTAGATGACTTGAATGGAATCATACAATTCGAACCATGCCGACGATGCAAACCCGGACCCTGTTCTTATTGCTGACAGTGCTCTATGTGCATAAAATGGTTTTGAAGAAATCTTCCAGGATTTTTACATTTTTTCTTATCTGCCTCTTCTTTTGCCCTTTTGCAGAAACCTGAAGAGGCTCGTACTGCTTGAGAGCTTGATCTTTAACTCCTGATGAAGCGGGGGTGTCCGCAGGCGAATAATAAGTATGCAAATAAACTTGTCCTGGGAGTCGCTTCTTGTACAGAATAATTCTCTTGTTAATATCGGATTCGGTCTACTAAGAGTGATGCTGTTTTTGTGAGCTTGTAATACTTAAAGCTTGGTTGTTAGTCGGTTTCCTTTTGCTTCTCTTGGAAAATAATACAATCAGGAATCAGGATTACATCCGTTTATTTCGTCTATGAATCGGAAGAGTTGATTTGTTATGTGCTTCTTGCTATCTTTTGGCTTTGGCCCGAGGGGAAACGGCACAACCTTTGATTCAAATTCGTACTTCTTTTGTTTCACGTGAAACATATTTCATCATCTTCATCCCACTGATGTATGACCGGAGGCTCTCGAGCTGTACGTCGTGCGGGTGCAATGCCTGAAGCTCGGAAGTTCTTACACACCAGTCTTTACTAAGACTCGGGTCACGGATGGATTGTTCATGTAACTAATGCCCTCTGTTTGGTTATAAAAATTCATTCAGAACTTACAATATCCATACACAAAACTCATAAAAAGGGTAGAGCTATGATTTTTCATACTACTTGCCCTATAAGAGTACGCCGCAAGTTTATAATGGCATGTGAGTACGTCTCAGCTAATCTTACATATGACAACTGGCAAGTAGTTATTTTCACGCTTTTGCTTCCTCTGGTCATATTAATCTCCATGCATGACATTAAGCTTGAACGAAAACAGTATATAAAACAGAGCTCACATTGTTGTCCAATAATGGACCATATCTTTGTGAAGTATACGAGGACATTGGAGTTTGCAAAAAACAATATAGCCGTCTCTCCGGCTTCGGTTGTAGTTTACTATGACATCCCAAATCAGCATTAGAACTCTATAAAACCATTCTCTCTTCTAACATCCATAGTACAAATATTTTCCACCGCACCTTCAAGTTTTACCATGGCCTCTCCTGCCTTCAAGCATGAGTTCTTCATTGCATTAGTCCTCGCTCTGTCCGTCTTCCAAATGACAAGCGCGGGCGACCCGGACATCACGAGCGATTTTGTCGTCCCGCCAAACGTCACAGCAGTGGACGGGAACTTCTTCACCTTCACTGGAATGAGAGCTCTCATTTCGATGGATCTTTCTACGGCTTTCAAAGTGACGAAAGCAAGCGCGGCAGAATTCCCGGCTCTTAACGGCCAGAGTGTCTCAATGGCAGTTCTCGAGTACTCGGCCGGCTCAGTCAGCCCGCCACACATGCATCCCCGTGCTTCCGAGCTCCACTTCCTCCTGTATGGGTCTCTCGAGGTCGGAGTCGTCGACACGGCCAACAAGCTCTTCACACAGACGCTCCAATCGGGGGACATGTTCATATTTCCGAAAGGACTGGTTCACTACCAGTATAATGCTAATGCGACGGACATTGCTATAGCCTTTTCTGCATTTGGTAGCGCGAGCGCTGGAACCGTCTCGCTTCCTTCAAGTGTATTCACCACTGGCATCGACAGCGGGATCTTGGCCAAGTCATTCAAGACGACCGTCTCCACCATTGAAGCTCTCAAACTTGGGCTTACACCACCCAAGGCCTAAGAGAGGAGCACAAAATAATAATATAGTCGATTCATTGTCTTCTAATTGAATGTTTCATTTGGTCACTCTAAACTGAATTTTTTGTTGTTCACATTGCATTGCTTAATATAGAATTTTCTATCATTACCAAACAAGCGATTTGAAGTTGATGAGGCCACCGAGCAACAGTTTTGCACATTTCTGTCGCGTTCTATTGCTCCTGAACTTGAAATACGTAGACCTTATCTCCCAAAGGAGACATGATGTTATCTTCTAAATACGAAGTAAGGGCTTAACTACACACTGATGTCGGACTTAGGAAAAGGGGAAAAAAAACTCTTTCTCTTGGAGTGCAGATCCAAGCATCCTTTGAGATGAAGCCTCCATGTAGTGACGGAAATAAGCTTCACAAGCTACACGGTCTTCTTATTTCAAAGAGCTGCTGTGCAATCTTCTTCTTCTTATGGGTTCCCCTCTTCGCACTGCACAAACTAAAAGTAGAAGAAAAGGCTTAATGGCCTGTCTCCACGCTTGTGCCTCTAGATTATCCAGAAATTAAAGCATAGGCCCTCGTGTTGAATTGAATCTATATTCACTTCCAATTCGGTTTGCCAGTCTATGTGATGAAATATTTAGACTTGTTAGCTCATTGTGTTGATCAGATGAAGCGCTATTCGATATGGATCTCGCAAGACTTGTAAATGAACAGTGACTGGATTGCACAAATTTTATACCTATCTTGGTCACACCTTCAACTCACCCTAATTGTGTGTTGGATGATTTTAACAGCCATAAGGAGAACTCTATCATGCCATTCAGCTTGATGCGAAATCCAAATTTCTGTCCTTTTTGCTCTTTGGGCAGACAGCCAGATAGATGCATAAGATCAGTGTTAAGGAATCTGAAGTAGTTGGTTCAGTGCATCTGCTTCTGCTTTGGTTCTTCTGCTGCAGGCATGCGAAGAAGGCTCATTCCCTTTTTCGCAATGCACAAACTCACGTTACATGAACAATAGAATTTAAGAGAGAGGCGGTCCAAGCAGCAAGAGCTCGAATTGGTGGTCATTCTGCAACTACTGATGATAACTGCCGAAAAATAATGTCCTGCTTGTTAAGGTTTCTAACATGTTCAAAGTGGCTGTTTATCTTTTCTAGCTTACATAAAGGAGCTTACCATAGCTCTTGCCTTTGGTTAATCCATTATGGTCCATCCGTTTTGCGTCTCCTATGAATTGCATCAGTTGATTTATCTATCTACATGTTTTGCCTTGTTGGCTGCAATGAATTAGTCGTTAGGTCTTGCCACTCTCGTTGTATATGTAGTAGTCCACTCATGTAGCATCCAGAAATTGAAAAAGTTCTGAAGAGGTCACAAGTTGAATAAACAGAGAGGAGATGCTGCATTGCACTATTGGGTATTACAGAACAGAGAGACTGAAATAAGGAGCCAAAAAACGAGAATAATGCTGCACGTTAGCTACAATCAGAAACCTGTTCTTAGTACACTTCTTGGAATTCTTTTATTTTCTTCCCTTGCTTATTTTTTTCCCTTGTGCCAAGCCAAACTATGTCAGGGTTCAAGAGGCACGAAGTTCATCTAAGAAGAATAATATGTAGAGGAACAGCATCTTCTGCGTGAGCAAGTAGGAATACATAAGTTTCAGCTAGGAACAAGTCAAATTAATTTAAATGGCTCAATTTTCTTTGGCCTCGTTCACTATAATGGTTAAAGCACCGTGATTGAAGTTTTACCAATTCCTACTGAGTTCTTCGGTTTCAGATTAAGTTATATCAGCATAAGGGTAATTCTCAGGAAAATTTGCAAGACACGTGATTTCGTTCTCATATTTATGGTCCCTTTGGTCATAATATGCTTATTGTGCAAATATACTAGGATTATGCTTATCTTGTAAAGTTTACGAGGGCATAGTAGTTTCCATAAACAGTTGCTGTCTCTCCAGCTTGATGCAGTTCACAGTCTCTTGTCCTCTCTCAGCTAACCCAATATAAAAAGATGCTCTAGGCTGAAATTCATCATTCAAGCTAAGTCATCAGAACAAATAGCCCAGAAGCTCTATCCGCCACCACCAATTTTCTTAGCATGGCCTCTCCAGTCCTCAAGCATGGATTTTTCATGGCATTTGTCCTCACTTTGTCCGCCCTCCAAATGGCGAGTGCTAGTGATCCAGACATCACAACTGATTTCCTAGTCCCACAGAATATTACCACAGTTGATGGAAACTTCTTCACATTCACCGGCATGAGAGCTGTTGTGCCGATAGATCCTCCTACAGCTTTCAAAGTAACGAAAGCAAGCCTAGCGGAGTTCCCGGCTCTCAACGGGCAGAGTGTCTCGATGGCAGTTCTTGAGTACTCGGCCGGCTCAGTCAACCCGCCACACACGCATCCTCGTGCATCGGAGCTCCTGTTCCTTCTTTATGGATCACTGGAGGTCGGATTTGTTGACACGACCAACAAGCTCTTCACTCAGACCCTTCAGGCCGGCGACATGTTCATATTTCCCAAAGGACTGGTTCACTACCAGTATAATGCTAATGCAACAGATTACGCAGTAGCCATTTCTGGATTTGGCAGTGCAAGCGCTGGAACTGTCTCGCTTCCTACAACTGTATTCTCCACCGGCATCAACAGCAGGATCTTGGCCAAGTCATTTAAGACGACCGTTCCCACCATTCACACTCTCAAACGTGGGCTTATACCGCCCAAGGCCTAAGAGAGGAAGGCAAAAACACTAATGAATTCATTCTCTTTCTATCGAATGTTTCATTGGATGAAGTAATAAAACTAAAGCTGTTTCATTTGATCTGTCTTAATTGTTTTTTTTGTTCACATTGGATTGGTTAATGTAGTATTTTCTATGTAATTACCCTACTAAACAAGTGATTTGAAGTTTGTAAGGCCTTTTCAACAGTGTCTAGTGCTCTTGAACTTGAAATATATAAACTTTTAACTCCAAATGGAGACATGATGTGATCTTTTTTCATACAAAGTTATGGCTTAACAACACAAACTGTCGCAAAGGGAAAAAAATTCCAGGTTCTTGCAGTATATATCATTTGAGATGAGGCGTCCCTTAAATGGCAGAAATGAACTTCACAAGCTAACCCGCCTTTTTCCCTCAAAGAGTTGCCCAATATTTTTCAACTCTTGAAGCCTTCAGCTTTCTGGATTCGAGCCGGCAAAGGAGTGATCTCTATGCAACACCATGTGGAATCCGTGTCCTATCTAATATCTAGTATCTACCAACAGGTGGTGCTGTCACTGGGTTTGAAAATCTGATTCATTTCGTGGACTTGTCAGTTACTCTAGGTGTATTGTCAAGCAACTTCATTTGATCAGCTATTGCTTACATTTTATCAACATTTCACTACTTTCTTCCTGTTCTTTCTCCATTTTTTTACCATAATCATAGACAGTATACTTTGAAAGAGTACTACAATTGAGGAATGATTGCTAGAGAGGTTGAGGCTCATCACAGAAGGAAAAACAAGACATATATAACCTTCTACATTCTAATCTCACTTAGATAAAGCATGCAAGGCTTCTTGTCATTATTTTGATTCAAGATCAAAAGCATTTACTTTCCTAGAGTACACATCAGTTTAGAAGGACTGCACATCACAAATATTCATCTTATTAATACTGGGAGCACTAATGGGGGCGCCTACCTTATATCCGAAAGGTAAATGAACACAGCTAAAGACTTGGTTATCGACTCATGTCTGTCCTGGGCATGCATGACTTCAAACTGCATAATACCTCATCGAGTGCGTGGGTCTGCTAATCAAGAATCAGTTCAGATGAGCCCATAAGTACATTGTGGCTGTGGTGATGATGAATCATGCCGGACTAATAATCTGAAGCTAGGTAGTAGGAACTTATCATAAGCAACGCATTACGAAGGAATTTCCGATTCACAAAAAATAAGGGAAATTGCAGATAATCGTTGATTCTTAGAATTCTGAGGCACATGGGTAATCCAATATTTACATCTTGATTAAAAAATATCCAGAGAAAGGAAAAAGTAATATTAAGAGTAGAATTTCTATCTATAATGTCGTAGTAGTGGAGCAATCTGGATCATATTTTCATACAAGCAACATGGGATCATCCTGACTATGTCAATGCTACAATTAGAGTGTCACATGGAGTTTCGTTCCATCGGATACATTGGTTCGATTGATAAAAAAGCCGAGAGGATTTCCAGAAACCTCCAATTGGATGCATCTTGATCAACTGATTCTTAAATTCCGGATTGACATTAGTACCGATCATAGTTTGAGAACCACAAACTGCATGGCACATGCATGCCGACATCGCCGTAGAAGAAAAAAGTTAACTGTATATTTATTTCAGTGCAATGTTTTTATTTATTTAGAACTGATCCTTTTATGATAAGTGAACTCTTGCTTTCAGTTTCGACCCAACAAAAAAAAAAAACTCCTGCGAGCAAAAGCTTATATGACATCTTGTCATCTTGAGGTCCTAAGGGTAGTTAAAAGCTTATTCGACATTTTGTCATCTTGAGCAAAAGCTGAAATTTTCATTGATGAAGAGAAAATCAATGAACTATTCCAGCTTACACGATTACTTGGAAGTTTCATACTTGAAGATAACTCATCGATAACCACAATAAGGAAAGAGAAATGGGGATTCAGCTATTTTTGACGCCCATTACGTTCTTATAGATGGTGACCAAGGTAAATGTGATTAACGTGCGTTGAATGGCAAAATAATCCTCTTTTTTGACAACCGGCTGTCTTCATTCTCAAGGACTTGAACTTGAAACCATATAAGTTAAAACAACAGACAGGCAACAGCTTAATAAGTTCAAGATATGTCGCTTTTGGTCAATCATTAGCGTGTATAACAGAGTTGCAACATGTCTTCTATGCGAATATCTCGGCATTATGCTTGAGCAAGACATAACGAAGCATGGAACCAAGTTGCTGTCATTACTCTAATTATTTGATCCTGTCTAGAAAACAACGAGGGCATTGTAATCTTCAGCGAGCAACGCTTAGCTCTCTTCTCTCAAGAAACTCTTCCTATAAAAAGAAGGCCAAGTTAGAAAGCTAGAACTCAAGCCTGTCTTCACACAAAGAACACAAAAGTTCATATTTATGAGCTTCAAAGTGTCCATCATGGCTAAGTATAAGCTCGTCGTGGCATTAGTCCTCAGTTTGTCCCTTTTCGGCTTTACGAGCGCCGGCGATCCCGACATTCTCACCGACTTTGTGGTCCCCCCGAACGTCAACATCAGTAACATCGATGGCAACTTCTTCACGTTCACCGGCATGAGGTCCATCTTGGGGTCCAATCCCCCGACCGCGTTTACAGTGACCAAAGCAAGCGCAAAGGAGTTCCCTGCTCTAGAAGGGCGTCTCGTTTGCACTCCTCCAATTCCCGGCCAGCTCGGTGAACCCCCCACACACGCACCCCCGCGGATCGGAGCTCCTGTTCCTCACATACGGGTCGCTGCAGGTCGGGTTCGTCGACACGACCAACAAGCTCTTCACTCAGACCCTCCAAGCTGGTGACATGTTCATATTCCCCAAGGGGCTTGTCCACTTTCAGTACAATTTTAATCAGACCGACTTCGCGGTGGCAGTCTCCGCGTTCGGGAGCGCGAGCGCGGGATTAGTGTCGGTCCCTGTGGCCGTGTTCGAGACCAACATCGACGACGGGATCCTGGCTAAATCTTTCAATACTAGTGTCACCACCATTCAAGCACTGAAGGCTGGTCTTGCACCCCCACCCACCAAAGCATGAGAAAGAGAGAGCGAGGGAGACAGAGAGAGGTCAACTTCTAATAAAACAATGCGATCTTTATTCCTGCAAATTTATATTTTAAAAAGCTGAAGTGTTGAAATTTTTTTTAATAAAGCAAGTTTGATGATGTACTGATCTACCCCCATTTATTTTGTATAAGATTTGACTTTGCTAACACAAATGTATGAACACCACCAAGTGGTATAAATCAAAGTCAATTGACTGCCTATCTTTTCTTTCCCCTTCTCAAGCATATACAATTTCTTTTGGGATAATGACACAAACAGACCTTGAACTTTAATTCAATGTGCAATTTGATCCCTGAACTTTTAATTTATTCAATATAGTCCCTGAACTTTAGCCTAATGTTTAATTTGGTCCATGAACTTTTAATCTGTTCAATGTGGTCCATGGACTTTTAGTCGATGTTCAATTTAGTCCCCGAACTATTTGAAAATGTTCAATATAGTTCTTGAACTTGAATTAATGGAAGGACTACATTGAACATTTTCAAATAGTTCAGGGACTAAATTGAATATGTACTAAAAGTTCATGGACCACATTGAACAGATTAAAAGTTCAGGGGCCAAATTGAACATTATGCTAAACTTCAGGGACTATATTGAACAAATTAAAAGTTCATGGATCAAATTAGATATTTAGTCAAAGTTCAGGGACTCTTTGTGTCATTTTTCCGTTTCTTTTTGTTCAATGCCCACATTTGCCATCAAGTCCAGTATCCATCCCCAAGCATGAAAAAATTTGGTTGGACGAATGTCAATTACTTTCGAAACTCAAATTATTAGGGTACAATTAGTATACTGTTTTAATTGATATTGTTGAAGCATAACATTTTCGTAGATGAAAAAACTATTTTTTATTCATTTATTTTTTTAAGCGATGCAAACGATTATTTTTAGGAAAATATTTTCTAAACTATTCATTTTCCGCGAAACAAACGAACCCAAAAGTCACCATTAGTTTCTCAACTATTAAACTAATAAGATCCTTTGTGTCATGGGCCAACGCTCGAGGTCGCGAATCATGCCGCAACATAGGCTTCCTTTGGCTTGTTGGAATGCCTAAGCTAAGCAATTTTCCGAAGGATCGATTGCTTGCTCACTAGCCCACTTGGATTTTAGAGAGAGAATGTGTTTAGAGAGAGAAGTTGTCACGCCCCGTACCCCACTGGAACGCAACATCCCATCATGGTCGATTATGGTGCAATGTTCCCAGGAAACGTCGCCGACCCAACACCCAATCAGAGATCAATCGCATACGGAAGCACGTATATAAATATATATATATATATATATATATATATATACACACACACCCATACAAATAAACACATGAGACCAAGGTAGAACAGCCAGCAATCAAACAACCGTGAAAATATATATACATTAGCATTGCCATAGAAAACTTTTTACAACCTTCAACTATACAACGACAGTGAAAAGCACACACCAGCAGCTACTCGATCAAAAGTGGGGGTCCGGTCACGCCGTCAGCCCCCCCTATAATACCAAGCCACGTACTCCTGGGTGTGGTAGTAATCCTCCCCCACATTTACAACAAAACCGAGTAATATCTCACATAGGCTGCTCCGTCTTCACAGGGATGTACGCTAGACAACCGCTGGATATGATGCGGTATCCCAAAAAGAGGTGGTGTCCTTGGCATCCTACAGCTGGGGGTCTGAAATGTTTCGGTTTACACAACCGTGAGATAAATCTCAGTAAGTTCAACCCCTAAACCGAGACTAGGCTAGCATGCAATCTCCTGACCGGAAACAAATATTTATAATCACAACACGACAATAATCAAACCATTCTCAGACCCTGCAAGTTAGACGGATCAACATATAATAATCATGGCACATACGTGGCACGCATGATCACCCGTATGCCAATCACATGCTCATGCACTGATTCTCAC